CTGCCAAGGCAGGAATCATATCTGCATCACCTCCTGGATCGAGAAGCTCCACCAGAAGATAGGAGATGTGTCGTCTGCGACCAGGATGGGGTCTACAAATGTCAAGATTGTCTTGGGGAGCCACTCTATTGCACTGGCTGTTGCAGAAGTCAACATCTTTGCAATCCCTTCCATTGGATCAGTCAATGGAATGGTCAATTCTTTGAGCAAAGTTGTCTCGCTCACGTCGGACTCGTCATACACCTCGGTCATGAGGGCAAACAATGTCCAGGTACTTACGGATAGGTGGGACTTGTTCGAAGAAGATGAACTGGAAGACCAGCTTGAGCCTGAAGATCTACCATCTGTGTCGGGACCCGAGTTCCAGCCTGAAGGAAAACACCATGGTCATCATTGACAAGTCCGGAGTTCATCGCCTCCGGGTTCGATGCTGTGATTGTCCAAATGCCATGAGTCCAGACCTTCAAATGTTTCGACATGGATTTTTCCCCGCTTCATTTAACAAGCCGAAGACTTTGTTCACCTTCAGGGTTCTCGATGATTTTCTATTGGACAACCTTGAATGTGGGACCTCGGCGATGAACTATTACAGCAAGCTCCGGCGAATGACCTCGAGGATGTTTCCACACCTTGTACCGGTAATGCCATATCTCTCTCATCTAAAGGACATTATATTAACAAGGCATGTGGCAAGGACCGATACCGAGAGCTCATGAGAGTCGCCCGATAGTGGAGGCAGTTGAAGACGATGAAATGGCATGGCTTTGGCCATTGTTCCGACAGCCCGAATGCAGGAGATCTCGCATTATTTTGCCCGGCATGTCCTCAGCCTGGGATTAATGTGTCCTTCTCAGGGGATGAATCACTTGATGAGTGAGTCTTCCTCGATACCGAAGTCACCTCAGCGATAATAACAACTCCAAGGTGGAAATACACCCGGTCATTTGTTATGGATGGAAATTTCAAAGCTGAACACCTGCATCCCATGAAGCCATTTGATGAAGTTTGGCTGTCAGATGGGTTGGGATTCATGGTGGGAAAGGACAGGTATAAAACGCATCTTGCAGAGGCTGCCGACACTTTAGAAAAATCAAGCTGCAACAATCACCGGGCAGTAAATCAAGCAAATGCGGCTCGGCACAAGCTGGAATCCATGGGCATCGGGGGAGTAGCCTGTGCGAGACACGGTTGCTTTGTTCCTCACTCAATGGTAGATTTTCAGAAAGGCGAAAGGCAAGCCGACCCAGCCATTGATATTCACGAGTTAACCATGCATCATTCGCAGACAAATGAACATGGACTATGGCCTTTGTGAGGCTGCCCAGCACAACATGGAAGGCATCACCAGGGCAGTCACCTTCTATGATATCAACTGTCAATACAACAAGCACTTTCGGGTTCGGGTGGATCGAAGCTGATTTCTCGAAATGGTTCCAGAATTGACCATCATTCTGGAATTGGGTTGTGGCACATCCACGGACATCAGGACAGCTGCTATGTCCGATATGCGTCAGATTTTATCGAAGGCATCGATCGGATTGATGGAGAGATCATGGAGACCCTATGGTCACGTCTCTACCTGATTTCCCCTGCTGCTTGGGGAATGTCATCCCCGCATCGAAAGGAATGTCTCAATTATCAGATGAATGATTCCAATTTCTGCAAGATGATCCGCATGAAAAGGACCCTTTGCCGAAAATACAAGCAGGCGAAGAATGGCATCGCCGAAAGTGAAAAGGCTTTTGACATACTCAATGAAGCAGCACCTGGCAATTCAAAGACAGAGTGGCTAGCCAGCAAGAGGATCGCTCAGTCCAGCAGAATAAATAATCCTGCAGCTATGGATGTATATGAGATTAATATCAAGAAGGGTTAGTTGACTTTGTCTCCATCAAAGTCTGAATTAATTTTGCATTCAGCACTGAGCAAAAAGGAGATCGAGCTTAGGCTACTAGAGGAGGGTAATGCCCGAAATGCAGCACCTGCTCGCAGATCTGTGGCGACATGGATATCAATGGGGTTGGCGATTGAAGAGGCTCAAATCACATTGCTCATCGAGGTCCGAAGAATTGGTAGAAGAACTACCGAGACACAGAAGTTAGACATCGCTCGGCAACGCGATCATCTCCAAGGCCAGATAGATGGATTCACTCGGTCTGCTATTACGCATCTTGGAGAGGGATTTGATGCAGATGATGATCCTGAAGACTTGTACTTGGACATTCTTGATGATCTCGATGATGACTTGGCAGACTTCACCGAGACATCTGACACATGGGCAAACTCCCCTGAGCTCACTGTAATCCCATTGCCATCAAACCTTGGGGTAGATCGATGCAGACGCTGTATGGCAGACGATCTCATTCCGCTGGAGATGTCTCTTCGTGAAGGGCAGGCCAATGACTCCCTTCACAACCTCCGAATTCACTTGTGCAACAAGGCGATTCTGTTTCGAACAACAGTTAGGCAAGCCAAATCCCAGGCCCTGAAAACTCGAGCTTGGTCCCAGGTGACATCGGTGCAGCAGGCAGTGTCCCTCCATGCCAGTATATATATGAAGACGAGGAAGCAAATGATGCAACTGGAGCCAGGGCAAGACCAGGTTCAGAAATACAAACCCCTGCTTCAAGAGCAACTCAAAATCAGCACTGCCGTCAGTGATCCAAATGCCCAAGGTCAGCGAAACGAGTCCCTCGCTTGGTTCTGGTCAGTCGAAGTCGACCTTGGGGGTCCCTATCACTCGTGAAATGAGGAATGTGAGTTTGGGCATGCTTGATGTGTCCCACACTCAGCTGATGGAGTCATCCGAAGTTTACCGAGTTCATTGGCTCCGGGCAAAGGCACTACGGGATCGATGGAAGGAAGAAATGATGTTGGTCCAATTGGAGATGGATTGGACATGTAACTTTTTCTTGTGGAAAGCAACCCAATGGGGTGACAGGATGTGCGAATCATTGGTGAAACACCTTCCGGGTCATGCATGCTACTCGGGAAGGCAATCCCAAACGTATTCATTGCTGGCACAGGATGCCCAGGCAGCATTTCAAGACCTGAAGACCGGGTTTATAGATGCTCGAGATGAATGAATTTTTTTTGCCAACGATATGAAACAGCTACTTTGACCCAAACATTTTAGTCTCGGGAATTGGCCGGGTCAACCCATGTTGGAGTTTGAAAATTTTTATCAATCAACCAGTGGCTCATATCTTGACCTCTGAACCAACTGCCATTGTCATTGTCATTTCCAGCTTCATAATCCTGCATTAACCATGTCTGTATTGCATACTCCCCCAACATCCCCTTCTATTTCTCAGACTTCCGGCAATGGGTTCCGACCCCTCACACTCACTCAGGCAGATATTGCAGCTACAATGTCAATGGCTGCATCTCGCATCCGAGCGTCCATCTCTCAATATCAGATGGAGGCTGCCCACACCCAGGAGCCTTCTGCTACTCGGATCACACACTTTAAAGCCGGGCTGCAATGGGAGATAGCTGTAAGAGGCTGATGACTGTGGTGGTCAATGCTGACATTTCCAACAGACTTTTGTGACTCCCATCCTGCAGTACTCAGCTGCAAGGAACATCATTTCGGTTGTTCCGAGCCCGGTTGCTCATATTCTTCAGTTGATTCCCGAGCTCACCTGGAACATGGTTCCGGACCACATCTTTTCATCCCACCTATGCCAGTTTCAAGACGTTGCAGATCTGGGGGATCCCTCCCGCATTGTATCCACCTATGGTACTCAATGGTGGACCAGATCAACTGCCATCCTGAACGAATTATGGCCATGGGATCAGGTATTCGCTAATTGTGTCTGTCACTACCAGCATTGGCTAGTAAGACTTGTACAGAATTTCCTTGAGTGATGACTAATCCTTTCTAGTCTGGCATTGAGGACGAACATCTTGTTGTTCCCGAGCAGGTGGATGAAAGCTCGCTTGCAACGCTGAAGGCACTGAGGTGGATGAGGGAACGCCTCCTGACAGTGATTGAGGATCAACAAGCTGGCATCCGTGAAAAGATGGCAGAGATTCAGATGTACACCGCCGTCCTAACCAAATTGAACCCAAGGGGACCAGAGTAGTTCTAGTCCTTCAGTTCAGAATGTTGAAGTCTAAATTCTGTACATGATGAAATAAGTACTGAAAATTACATACTGACTTTCAAATATCTGACCTATTGGTATATGCTGAGTCCTGCATACCAAATATCGAGTATCGAGATCCAGATATCTTGAGTCCCAAATATTGAGTCCCAAACATAGAGTCCCGGATATCCAGTCCCAAAGCCCAAGATTTGAGATGAGACTTGAAACTTGAACATTGCTATGAGTTGCAAGTTTTGAGTCCCCACTATCAACCATCGAGTCCCGACTACCGAGTCTTGAAACCCAAGTCCCGACAATCAAGTCCCACAGCCCAACTATCGAGTCCCAACCATTGAGTCCCAACCATTGAGTCCCGACAATCAAGTCTTGAAACCCACATCCGCACTATCAAGTCCCGACTACCAAGTCTTGAAACCCGAGTCCTGACAATTGACTCCTGAAGCCCGAGATTTGAGTGCTGACCATCAAGTATTGAGTCCCCAATATCGAGACCCGAAACCCGAAGCCTGAGATTCGACACTCGAAACAAATCAAAACTCAAAACAACACGACACTTTCTTGAATCACCGAGTACCGAAACCCGAGTACCGGGTACCGAGTCTTGAAACCCAAATCCGCACTATCGAGTCCCGACTACCGAGTCTTGAAACCTGAGTCCCGACAATTGACTCTTGAAGCCCGAGATGTGAGTGCCGACCATCGAGTATCGAGTCCCTATTATCGAGACCCGAAGCCCGAGATTCGACACTCAAAACAAATCGAAACAAAACTCAAAACATGACACTCATCAATTTTGGGAGTTGTTTTCTTGAATCACCGAGTACCAGGTACCGTGTACCGAAACCCGAAACCCGGTACTCGGTAGTCGGTGAAATGTGTACAACATCACTATGGAGTATACTCGAATATCGAGTCCCGACTATCAAGACCCGAAAACCCGAATGTCGAGTATGGAGTGCCTAATATCTAGTATCATGTGTTTGAAGGTGGGTACTAACATGGGTAACTACCTTTTCTACTTCTTCCAATCCAACCTTGCCCATCCACACGATGGAATCCTGGCATAAATATGAACAGCATCCCTCATATACCATGCCCAGGCAATCCGATCCCCTTCCACTGCATGAACCACTGTAGAGACTCGCGTTTCTGTGGGCTCATATGGGCTCATTTTACGAATTCTGGCAACTGGCCTTTACTGCACGACTTGCACCATCATCCATATGCGACTTCTATCATGTTTCTGGTCATTCCACACACAACGCGCAGCTTTCCCGCGAAACGCGCCATAGGCGCGCTACTTTCCCACACAATGCGCAGCATTCCCGCGCGCGCTTAGCGCGTTTCTCTCGCACTTGTCGCCCTACTCCATACGCAACTTCTGCTATGTCTCCAGTCATTGCGCATACAATGCACAGCTCTCCTGCAAAATGCGCCATAGGCGCAACACTTTCTCATGCTTTCGTGTTTCGCATTCCCGCGCGTGCGCTTAGCGCGTTTCTCGCGCTTAAGCGCACTCCATCGTGCATCATCCAGGAGCATCCATCCATCATCCAACCAGTTCCTAGGTGTGTCCCTTTTCGTTATCAGACCATATTTAGCCTATTACACTTTGTATTTCGTTATGCACCCTTACTTTACATCACTTTACCTCACTTACATACTTAGAGCGCTCCCTATTCGGCTCCGAGCCCTGGGAGAGCGCTTAGGTAGAATTTACATACTTTCGTGTTCGTTTTACACCACAGCTGACTACCACATCTTTCTACCACCATGTACTTGGCAGTTAGTTCCATGCAATGCATGCGTCCGTCATCGTCTTAAGGCCCTAGCATCAGTCTAAAGCTAGTGGCAGTATCAGTATCCATCTATATCCGCGCTTTTCACCATATTATCGTCTCTCTACACTTGTGCACTGCTTGCACTACCATTCCAGTTCTCTGCGCATTTTCGCCTTTCGCACTTTCGCCTTCCCGCGCTTCGCGCATTTTTCGCGTTTCACTTTCCCGCGCGCGCCTTGAGCGCGTTTCTCGCGCTTACATCGCCCTTTTGTCGCCTTTGATCAGGGTTGATCAGCATCATTTCGTGGATCCTTGCTTTCTTTGCTTCCCTTAAGGGTCGAACATATCGCACGGCATATCAAGACCCAACATAGAGAGTGTTTGCTTGTCATCTGACTTGCAGTCACCTTTGTTGTGTTACCCACACTGCATGTCTGACAATCCTTCCCGAAAACGCAATCATGCACCCCAGATCGTACCTGAACTCCAGCTGCAGGCTTGGCATACTCATCCGAGCATTAGAATAATTCCCCACGCTAGTGAGAATATCGAAGCATTCGGAAATCGATGAGGGGTCTCGATGATTCGGGGTTTCCCGATTGCATATGACGGTGAGGCTGTTAAACACCGTTGCCCAGTACTGGAGAGTCTCTGACATCTTCGGCAGTTCCTTGCTTCATGCCTTTTCTCTGAGGCTTGCAAAGGCTTGCAACCCTGCCCAGTACTGCTCAGGATGCATCACCCTGAGTGCCGCTGTGGCAATGGCTTTGAGGATGTTCTCGGAGGATGGTCCCTTCAATGATGCAGATACCTCCAGATCGGACTGATTCTATGGGATTGGTGAGTTTAACTACCGAGATCGCCATCTCATCAGATCCTACCTCATGCCCCTGGTGAAACCATGCCGGAGATAAATTAACGCATCCAGGAGTTAGGACATCATTTTCCGAGCTTGGTGTGAACCACTGTTGATTAGTCCGCCAAATCCCATCGAGCTTTATGCTTTGTTCGAGCATGGGAGCTAGCAAATCCGAGGCTGCCCAAATTTCATTCTGTATGTACCATTTGATGTCCAATATCCATCCAGTCACAATATATATAACACACCTGGGTGGCATCGGTCAAGGCGTCTGGGAGGTACCATGCGATGATGGCACCGGATGCATCAAGAATTGTCATGGGTATGTCGATCAACTTTGTGCCCTCATGGCCAGGAGGACACCTCTCGAGCAACTTTTCCTCTCTCTCTTCATTATGCCCCATGTCCTTCGGGGAGATCAATTTGCTATATCTGTCATATCCCGTATTCTGGACCTACGTCCGATGATGTTCCCACGCCTTCCGGACGCCTTCCGGATGCACATCCGGACCTCCATACCCTTATCCATGACTCCATACCCTTATCCATGCCTGCAGTCCTCCAGTCCACTATCGGTTTGGATCCGTACACCTTCGTACATCCATATATCCATACCTTCGGACCTCCGCAGCTAAGCCTGCTTCATCCACCCTTGATCCCATCGGATCCGAGCTCATCCTACCTGAGACTTTACCTTCCCTAGACTACCGGATGATATCCATGATCTATATCCTAGTCTCGTCTTCACCTAGATCTCCGGATCCGCTCATCCGATATCCAGACGCCTCATCCGATATCTCTAGACCTCCGGATCCGACCTATACTCATATCCGAAGCTCAAACCTTAAATCAGCGTCTATCTCCTTATGGTAATCCTCTTGACTCCGGACTTCGGTTATCTGTGTTTCCGTCTTGCTTATTGATCCTTGTACTTTGTTCATCTCCGAGTTCATTTGTTTATGTTCCGTTCATACTTACCAATATGTTTCCACATGCTCGTACATAGCATTTGTCTTCAGCTTACTGATCCTCTCGGATCCCGTCCAGTATATAAACCTCTGTACAACTCCTGTAAAGTTTCCTCAGTTCGAATATCATCTTAGATTCTGCTCAACATAGACTTGCTCTCTCGCATCCTAGACTTCACTCATTCTGATCTCGGACTTCGGTCCATCTTAGTATTGCCTTTCCTTAGGCCTAGGGAAGGATTCCCTAGGCCAACCTTCCGGTCCTCCGGATTTATCCTTCCGTCTATATCCATGCTTAGGGATTGACTCCCTAAGCCGAAGCTTTGCCTTTCCGGCATTTCCTGTCTTTCTGAGACTTCTGTCTAAACCCCGTCTATCCGACTCTACCATAGAGTAGTCTACCTCCGTCTGTTTCTACTCCGGACCTTGTCCGTTGTAGCCCTTCTTCTCTTGTCCTAGAATCCTGTCCGCTCCTCCGGTCCTCCGGACGTCGTAACCTTCGGACGTCGCAACCTTCGGACATCGTAACCTTCGGACGTCGCAACCTTCGGACATCGTAACCTTCGGACGACGCAACCTTCGGACCTCCGGACGTCCTGTCCTTCGGACCGCTCCTCCTAACCTATCCTGCTTTGGACTCTGTCCCTTGCAGCCTATCTTCTATGTGTTTCCATCTAGGGAGCTTACCTTCGGATCTAATGCAGCGGGTGAAACTCTTCCAGAGTTTCCTATACTCATCCGAAAGTTTCCCGCGCTCATCCGGAAGTCCTCCAGCACTCAACCAGAGTAGCCAGCCTCCGGAAGTCCTTCGGACTTCGTCGGATTCCATCTGGACTTCATTCCGAAATTAAGGGCACGTACTCGGGTAAGGGGCACAGCGCATGAGCTGAGGCCGAAGCCCTTCGGATCCGATACTACTTGAGTACGGTCTTAACAATATCTTGCAATATCGATCGGCATCTGAACTGTGATGAAGCAATTTGACTGATAAAATGAATTTTCCGAATCTGCAGGAAGACTCACTGGGATTTTTATATGCCTTTATGAGCCAATCAACCAATCGATCACAAGCCATCACCAGATCAGTGTCTAGGTTTGGAGAAGGTATAACTGGGTCTCCTCCTGTCTTCTCTGCATTGAATTTCTGTTCCGTATAATCACATGCCACATGAGTGACAGTCAGGGCCCAAGTGCGCAAGAGGGTTATTTCATCATCAGAAGTGGAAGAAACATCCATGATTGAATTGATCTTGTGAGATCAGAAGCTGAATCCTGAATGTCCGCACTTTGGTGTTAAAGGGGGTGGAGATTGAGAGGATCAGATAAGGGAGCCTTGGATGATCTGAGCTTTCAAAGATCTATTATCTCTTATCATCTATTGCTCAATGAAATACCACATGATTGGAAGTCTGTTGGATGTCAGATACTCGTTTGTCGAGACCCAGGCCTTGGATCTCGGTACACTTCACTCAATTTCGATACCCGGGACACCATAGTTGGAACTTGTCTTGAATCTCGGGTCTCGGGTCTCGGGCGTCAGGTCTCGGGTCTCGATGGTCAGGACTTGATATACGGGACTCGTTGGTCGGGACTCGATACTCGATTGTCGGGATTCAATGGTCAGGTGTCGGGTTTCATGACTCGGTAGTCGGGACTCGATAGTCGGGACTCGATAGTTGGGACTCGATGGTCGATTTTCGGGATTCGATAGTTTGGGCTCAGATATTGGTACACTTCACTCGATTTTCGGTGGTCGGAACTTGGCATTTGGCATTTGGTAGGCTTGGATGATGTTGGCTTTCAAAGATCTATTATCATCCATTGCTCAATGAAATACCAGATGATCGGAAGTGTGCTGGACATCACATATTCGTTTGTCGAGACCCGGGTCTTGGAACTCGGTACACTTCGCTCCAGTTTCCACTTCACCCCTTTGCAAAGCTCCGTGCCATACCACATCATTAGATGACTTTGAATAATTACCTCCTTTGATTTGGATGATATACAACTAGCTGAGCTCCATCATGTCTACAATTATTATTCTCCTGGGCCCACCCGTCTATCTTATATACACCCACGTTGGCCTACCCATCTATGCAATATATGTCTCCCATCGGCCCACCCGTATATAATACATCTTTTACTGCTCCCTCGGCCCACCCATCTACAAAATAATATTAATTTGTTGGCCCACCCATCTAATATGATATATATCTGGGCCCACCTGTCTATGTGATAACAAGCACCCTTGATATACCCGGCTATTTGATACATATCTACCTTGGTACACCCATCTACATAATATCCAACTACCTCGGCCGATCCGTCTATTGAAAATTCATGTCCATTGGCCCACCCATCTACTTTACATATTCCCCACCTGGGCCCACCCGTCTCCATCGGGAATAATAACACTCCCAGCCCATCCGTCACAGTCGAGGATATATCTACCCTCGGCCCATGGTCCGCTGGCCCGTATCATACGGGATATTATGCACGTCCGTCCACTCGTATAATACGGAGATATGTTACTGCAATATGTGATGCAAGTACCAGGTTATTGGCCTATTCACAAGCCCGATATGGCAAAGCTAGTAAGTGTATCGTCACTGGCCTTTTTCTCGTTATTTCCTCATACTTCCTGGCTGTTAAGACCATACTCAAGTAGTATTGGATCCGAAGGGCTTTGGCCTCAGCTCGTGCGCTGTGCCCCTTTCCCAAGTCTTGCCCCTTATTTCAGAGTGCTAGAGTATCGCATCTAGTGAGACAGATAAGTATCATAATGGATCCGTTAAGGCTTCCGGATATCAAACATATAGAGTAACGGCTAATCCAGATCGGATCCGAACTAGAAACTAACGGATGAGGATTGTCTGAAGACAGAGGCAGATATGTAG